AATAATGTTTAGAGGAAGAAAAGGATGGAGAATGAACAATAATGTTAGAGGAAGAAAAGGATGGAGAATGAACAATAATGTTAGAGGAAGAAAAGGATGGAGAATGAACAATAATGTTAGAGGAAGAAAAGGATGGAGAATGAACAATAAGAGGGAAGTGAACAATAGTCTTATAGGAAGTAGAAATTAATTATTTCAGTTTTAAAATTGTCATTGAAATCAAATAAAACGACAAACTTTAGATGTGAGAAGATGGCAAAAGCGAAACTATCTCAAATGATTCAGCGAAAAGTTTTCAAAATCAAAGAACAATTACACAACAAGCTTTTTCTTTCTTTTCATCTCTTCCCCTCCCTCTTCCTCTTTTTCTCTCTCTCTCTCTCTCCCTCTCTCTTATCCTCTTTTTCTCGTTAGTATTTGAAAACGTATTTATGTCAGACTTTAAACATTTCTGCAATAATTTCAACATTTACTTGACAAACATATTTTTAAGTTACGCAACAATTAATTAATGAATTGACTAATTAATGATACTAACATTTCAGTAAGTTAAAAATAAGCCATCATATTGGATAGATATTTTTCTCTCTTTTCATTTCTTAATAAATAAAATTTAAAAACAAAAATTAGTCGAATTGATGAAATTTATAAAATATTATCAAAATTTTCTTCTAAACTAACTTAAAACCAATGTTTAAGAGAAGAGAAAAAGGAAGGTTCCCACAGAAATAAATAGAAAAAAAACGATGGAAATTATTATTAATGATGAGAGTTATAACAAATATACGTATGACAGTAATTCATTTCCAATATGTAAGTAATTCATTTCTAATATATACATAAATAGTAATGGAATTAAAGGAAAAAGAAATGTTGAAAGGTGTAATGATCCATGGTATAAGTGGGTGTATAAGAGTAGTAAAGTTGTTAGGGATTGATCCATATATGTCATGTATTGAACGAGGAAATTGAAATTAGGGGAGAGGGAGAGGGAGAGAGAGAGAGAGAGGAGGGAAGAAGAAAGAAACGGTTTAATTGTTGCTATTGCTATTTTGTTAATGATGATGTGATTGTGATATATGATGACAATGATGATGATGATGATGATGACAAGCGATGACGAGCGCCATTTGTTGAAAATATAGAAGAGAAGGAAGGAAGGGAAGAAAAGGGAGGGGAATGTTAAATGAAGTGAATAATTATGATGGAAGTGTGGAAAAGGAATGGGATGAGGAAATGGAAGAGATTGAAAAGTAGTAGGATGTTAAAGAGCTTAAAACGGGGACAACAGATGATCGATCGTCAGGGAATTGGGAAGTTAAGAGATATGAGAGCGGGGATGAGGAAGGGTTTGTATCGGGAAAGTTGCATATTGTGATGGTTGTTAAGTTTTGGAATTAAAATGAACTGATCGATAAAGGTTGTTATGTATGTTGACATCATTTTGTTTATGGATGTGACAGTAATAGTAATGTATATGACATGACACAATATTCATTCATATATAATCAATATGAAAATGTATGTATTACTATAGTAGTATAGTTGGAATAAATGAAGAATAATTATTAATAATTAAAACAAAAAAAGAAAAGAAAAAGGAGGTGAAGAAGTGAAAATTTGATAAATTTTAAATTTTCTAATTTTCTTCAGATAAAGTATGAATGAATAATTACATATTCTTCCTTTTCTGAATTTAATTATATTTCATTATAAAAGAAATATATGATCGATAAATCTTATCTCCTCTTTTGTCATGTCAACTTTCCGGATACAATTCGGAGAAATTTCCGGAATTTGACATTTAATGAACTAAACTATCCATAATTAGATAGATCCATCAAAGCTACATATCTTAATTTGTATCATTTGATTAGCTAATTACACTATAATCATTAAACAAACACATTATTAATGGACAAAATTTAAGAGTAAAAAATCACAAAAATTTGTATAACCGAACTAAATTAAAGCATAAAAATTAATCAAGCATTGTCAATTTTTTCTAATTAATTAATTTTAAAGTGAAAAATATTAGCCGATTAATCCTATGCATTTTATGGATTATTTGGTAAACAATTTTTGTTTCTATTTAATTAGCAGTTAATAAATTTAATCATAAATTATAAATAAACTTGAAGTTATGAATCCAAAATAACTCGAATAGCTTATCCTTAAAATATAGAATAGTTGCTAAACATTCAAATCAAAATATTTCACAAATTAGTATCTCTTTATCCGAAATCATCCAAATCCATTCCATGGAAGTAATCTTTGTATGTGTTTTCAAGATTTATTTATTACTTAGGAAGAAACACAGGAATGTAACTTTGCAATCGTCTCCAACTTTAATGATACATTTTTTAACTCGGACGGCCTATCTTTATTGTTCATTGCATATTTATTTACTTTATTAAATTAATTTCTTTTTTTAAATTATGAATAGACTTGAAGTTATGAATTCAGAATAACTCGTGTCTTTAATCGTTAGTCAACAACAAGAGAGTCAACAACATAATTCCACCTTATTTTATCACGAAATATATAAATAAATCATAAATGAACTAATATAATAAAAACTTAAAAAATAAACCCCACAAATCAGACATTTTTTGCATATTTTGAAATCATTTAAATATGATATAATATTCTCAGAAGCATACTTCATTGGCAATTTCGAGAATTTTGAAATTCTTTCCTCGAGAATGGTACTTCTACCCGTCTCTTTAATCGTTAGTCAACAACAAGAGAGTATAAAATGGAAGAATTTTTTTTTTTTCGATTAAAGCTAAAAATTACGAAATGGAGCAAAAAACAAATATGTCGGAGAGGATGGAAGATTGAAGAAAATATTTTGGCCGATGAAGAATATGTAGATTTTGAGCGTCTTTTTTAAAAAAAAAAAAGTAACCCCTCGCGTTGCCGTTAATTTTTTTTTCTCTTTCAACTTCTCCTCAAACAGAGTTCGGCGTATTAAATGGAGTTTGTTTTTTTTTTTTAAAGTGTTTATTTTGAGAATTTAGATATTTTTATAGGAATTCGAGAAAAATTCATTCCTTTTAGGCAATTTTTTGATTCATTATTTCCATAATTGCACAAATTTCAGAAAAATCCTTTCTCTATTATCCAAAAAGAATTTTAGAATTTCATACCAAAATCAGCTAATCTGTTCCATGCATAAATTCCTTTTTCTATTCCATCCTTGAAAGAGAATAAAACGATTGTTTCGATAAATGTGAGAAACTTATGATATCTGATTGATACAACTGATAAAGGATTTTAGATTTGCTAGTCATTCCCGTAAAAATTATTTCATTGCCTGTAATATTTATAAAACTGCGATTATTTCACATTTTATCTCCATCAGTTATTCTCTTTAAGATATATTATGACCGAAAATAAAGGTGCAACGCTCTCTGACTGAAAATAGATTTCATATTGCATCAATTGTACAACCAAATATGCTCCTACGAATACTTTGGAAAATGTGAATCCATCTCTACTTGCTCTCTCTCTATCTTGTAGTCCCTTAAAAATTTTTGTCATTGAAAGTGATAGATGAATTTCAACGAAGGAAACCAAATTGTACGTGGTAATAATACAACTAGCGTATCTAATACTAATACAATCAATAAATACATCATACCAATCTCTCATTTCTTGGTAGTTGAACCTTCACTTATCTGAACGCAGTAATATCAGACGTACAACTGAAGCCAATCATTAATTGTTACGCAAAATATATATCTATATCTATATATCTATATCTATCTATTCATCTATATATATATATACATATAGATATATAGATATATATATCACAGAATGAACTTGGTAAAATTGTACCCGCAAAATGAAAGAGGCTCAAAAAAAACAACGAGACAACAATTTAATCATTGGGATAAACTTTCTTATGCCACGGTCGAGATGTATAATGCTTCCCATCGAATGCTTCGAAATAATTCTTAATGAGTGGATGAAATATCTGAAAAATAGAACCAATGAAAAGAATCTAGAAAAATAATGAAATCTATGGCCTTTTCGAAAAAAAAAACAATAGCATAAATCCTGGAAAAAGAAGGAAACACCTAAAATTTCTTGTTACTCTAGTGATCTGAAACAATCGGTTCGAGTCCGATAAAAAACATTTTTCCAGCATCAAATGATTAGAAAAGATCAAGAACTGCTCGACCACACAACTGTTCCATGTTAGCCCATTAATATTGTTATTTATGTAGCACAGTAAAAAAAGTAACATTCCTCAACTAATAAAGGAGGAAAAAGTATCGAGAATAATAACGAGATGTTTCAGGACTTCAAACCTCAGTGGTATCCATCCTGATATTTTCTGGTGATTAATTAACTTATTTACACATGTCTCTCTACTCATTCTCTTTTCTAAGAGGATTGTAAAAAGACTGACACTTCGCAAAATTTCATTAATCATACCCAACAATAAGGCCTTAGATGCTTTTTATTCTTCCTCTTCAGCATCAGACCTTCAGCAAAGCATTTGTGAATATCAACCTATCTATAATGAATCTCATAGTAAAGATATCACTTGGAATACTAAATAAGAAATCCATACCCTTCCTTCCCCGAGTTCAATATTTTCTTCAACAACGTAAGCCAGCTGTGGAATTAGTCTATCCCTGGTGTCGATTATTACCGAATAATTCGGCATTTCTGACCATTCCTACAAAAGATTTCACATTCATAAGCAAAAGGAAAACTGTAAATTTCAAGATAAAATCAAAAGACCAAAAATTATTCGAGAAATGCAACTCGAAAATCGGGATATGAATTGGGAACTATCACATAATATCGAAACGCATTCAAACATACGTCCTAAAAGCTTCAAGAAAATCTAGAAAAAAGTTAAACAGAGAAGTAGTGAACGGAAAAGTAAAATAACTTGTTGATGTTTAGCAGTGCAAGTCGACTCGGTAATTTCCCGCCATATTTACTTACTTTTCGGCCTTTGTGAGTCTTATCGAGCCAACTTTGAGGTGCAACCGCTTTTTCATCCCATCCAATGATAACACCTCTATATCCATGAATTTTATGTCGAACCACGTCACCAACACGATATTTTATATAAGGAGGTCGTGGATCTCGTGGTTCAAGGGAACCTGAAAATAAAATTCCACACCAGAAGGACGATTATATATTTAGTTATGTATTACAATCATAACTATAGTGATAAATAATCCACCATAACTGCCGACTGCTTTACACAATCGACTTGACCAATGAACTGACCCCTAATTTTGGATGATAGCGTTAGTAAGACCATATCTAAATCATGGAATATGCCACAGCATTTCAAAACGGAGCAATTTATTCCAGTAAAATTACCTCCAAAATATTTAGTTTCTTTCTCGTCTCCTGATATATCAGTAATTTCATCCACTTCTTCTTCCTTGTTTAAAAATAACCGTGAGAAATGTGATAATGAATTCCTCAGTCTGAAAAAAAAGGTAAAGCAGTTATGTAAATGACTGTACACAAAGAATAATTACTGTTTTTCCTTTTAAAAATTACTAAGTTGAAATGGAAAACAACTAAAACTGAGAAACGCATTCGATATTAAACAATTAGATTTAAGAGAAAAACGAAGTGAAATAGAAAATTAAAATCAAATAGTGTGAGTTCAAAACCAAAATTGGAACAAGACCTAGATTTAAAACTTATTAACTTGACAAGTAAATTTAATATTTCGAAGAAATCGAACTTACTTGTGCAAATGATATTTGACATCAGATGACGAAGATGGTGACAATAAGAGTTGCAAAGGTACAGCAACAAATATAGCAAAGAAAATAATCACTGGCGTATATTCCACCATTGTCCAACTAACATGACCGTAATTCATAAGAACTGAAATTACGAAATACTGAATTTTGATAATTCAACCGTTAAACTGAACTCTATAATATCCATTTTAAAAATTCTCGTCTTGGGCCGATATGAACCTGAAGAGAGAAAGAAGTTGTAAACAATAAACCAATGGTTCGACTGTTTCAATAAAACCTAAGTTAAGGCTTAGATTATGCAATTTAAAACAAAATCAAAGTCGAAATTCAAAACTAATATAAGCCATAACCAGATTCGTGATTATAGTTACGTAGCACTCCCCATTATAATTAATTTACACAGCATTCTAAGTTGTTTTTTGATGGGCAAAATTTTAGGAAATGAAATTAATATTCCACAAACCAAAACAAAACATCGGTTTTGCAAAAAATAAACGAAAAAAAAAAAACCTGATGCTATTAAGAAAAAATATGCATTTATTTCATCCCTTCGTTATAAAATATATTCACGCTCGAAATCCCATGAAACTGACCATCAAAATATTTGTTTATAATTTTAAATTCTCTAAATATAATCCTTGAAAGAGGAATGAACGTTAGCTTGCATACATTAGTGGATGTTTAAGACCGAGATTTTAGGCATTTAACGGCTCAATAAATGGTATATATCAGTATTTAAGATGTTTCGAAGGCAAATTGTAATTTTCAAAAGAAAATTTTAGTGTTTTCATGATCCATAAAAATATTCAAATTCGGTCTCACTGTTAAACTTATTAATCTGAACAAGATTCAACTAGTATTCCCCTAGCCAGTGCACTTAAAGCGCAAAACGTGGTACTCTAGAACTCTCCCCGTAAAGATGATTAAATTGCCCAGCAATTGGGCAAATGTAGAAGTGATATCGACTAAAGGCGAGCTCACAGCAATGCAACGTCATCATTAGACGGCTACATTTATACGTGCTAAAAAAAACAGAAGATAGACAATAATAGTGACAAAATTATTACTTCATAAATTAAAATATTCAAATATATCATAAATTCAAATATCGCATTAAAAAAATTGTTCTTTTTTTATTTTTAGAATTATTAAAAAGAACCGAAGAAATTGCAAATAGGATTAAAATTTTCGAAATTTGAACACCATATTTGGTCAAAGTGAAAATGCTAGAAATAAGCATAGCTAAGTAAGGACATATACCACATCTTGAATTTCTATCCCAGTGGAACTCCTGCAAACTTCATACCACCCAGTAAAAATTAGAAAGATATTACTGACGTCATTGTTTACCAAATAGTGAAACGCGACCTCGGGCTTTCGATTAAAATTGAAGTTTGCTAAAACGGTTCTAGTTTTAAAACGCTCAGCATATAATTTGATGGGTTACAGTTTTTTTGGCCACATATGCACTGACCCTCACATGTTTATGCAAATGTAGCGCCTTCACGTGTACACGTCAGTTTATGCAAATGTAGTGCTTTCACGTGTACATGTCACTTTATGTAAATGATGCGGCTTTACGTGCACATGTCAGTTTATGCAAATGTAGTGCTTTCACGTGTACATGTCATCTCATGTGAATGTTGCGCCTTCATGTGTGCACGTCACTTTGCATAGCTGCAGCGTTTTTACATGTGCACGTTAGTTTATGTACATGGAGCACCTTCACGTGTATACGTCATTTTGTGTAAGTGTAGCGCTTTCATATGTACATGTTATTTTATATAAATTTAGAGCCTTCGTATGTTAAAGTGAGTTTATGTATATTAGCCTTAACTCATTGCCTGCTAGTTCCATGCTTTTTCCACTTTTTATAAAGATATTAGTGAAATTTGTTTAAACACTCATTTCCTATATTTTCCATTTTTTTTCAGATTTTAGGGTCAAATATTAAAGAACATTTCTGGGGATAGGTTAAGATCAATTAGGAGTGTGAAAGTATATATAGCAAGGATTAAGAATAACGAAAGAACATGATTACTTGGATGAAGGCGGAATGAATTTGCGAATGTAGTATATGGCGGAAGATTTGGTAAGTACTAGTAATGACATAAATAAAGAAAGATTAAAGACTGATACGAGTAATGGATACGAATAATGAAGTCTTTATATTGACAGTAGTTGATTATTAACTGTCATCATTATTATCAATGATTTAATAAAACGTGTCCATTACATGGCTATCAAACTGCGGCAGTTTTTGCATTTTTTATAGTTTCGCTGCTGTCATCCTAAATTTCAAATAGAGCCTACAAAAAAGTAAATCGTACTCTATCAGGTGATGCCTTTTGATATTAAGGATTTTCATTCTTTTGTTATTAAGAATATTTATAGAATTTTATCTCCATTTTTTTATTTCAGTAATGAAACGAATTAGTTGTTTACTTTATCGGTATAAAACTTATCATATACCTTGGATAAAATGGAATGAAGAAAGGTTGTTAAGAACTGCTGTTACGCCATCGTCTACTTCGATGGATATCGTAAAATTGCGCTCAAATCGTTGTCAAAGTTTGGTTTTGTCATGTTCACTTATCAAAGATAAAAATTGGAGAAAGAAACTGGAATATGCTGCTGCTTGCTATCAAGCTGTAAGTATACTCACATGAATATGTCTCTTGTCATTTCTTTTCTGGTCATGTAATGCATAGGTTTAGTCTTCGTGACACATGCAGATTTTGTAATTTTCCTATCCTTTTTATGGATATGATATCATATGTTAGATCTTTGCTTCTAATTTATATAGTTCTTACTTTGATGCTATTCTCCTAATTGCCTTACTCGCTGTCGAGAATATATTATAATCGATCAAGCCTTTTGAGTGACTTAACCACCAAATTTGAAGTTTTAATTTATGACTTGAAAGTATGCCGCTAAATTTCTGTTTCCAGTTTGGATTAGTTTGAAATCGTGTCGTTGCTGTCTTTTTTTTTGCTTTACTTAAATTAATTTTTCAGAATACTGAAGATGCTTTAAATGCCGTTGTTTCGCTTGCCGTAGAAGATTGCAAAAATGGGACGAGTACTGCCAATCGTTTACTTTATTTAGCTATGGATATGGCTTTGAACCAGGTTAGATTATCTTTTTTTAGTGAATAAAAATCCTATGCATAAGCACTTCTTGTTTACCTGTCTGTTTTTTCAGCAGTTTTGGAAATTAATTTATATTTGGTATGCTATTATGGAATACACGGAATTTGGAAACCTTTTATGAAACTTTTATAATTACAAAGAAAGCACGAAATATTGGGATTTTTCAGGGTCGTATTGATGTAGCTGAGGAAATGTTCAAGTTATTGCCTCGACGTATCCATGTATTAGCTACTAGTTTAAAGATTCGTCTTTTCGTTCTTCAAAAACGCTTTTGGGATGCATTGCGCGAAGTGGAAAAGGTGTTAAATGAAGATACTGCAGGCTTGGATGTGTCGACGAAGATTTCAAAGTCTGTAATGGACGAATTTTACGAAGCGCTTTCAGCTTGTGACAATTCAGTCGATGAGGTTAGCTTCCAGAATTTCCAGTTATCATCAAGTTATAGTAACTTCTAATTAAAGAAGAATTATATGCTTTAATTTTTGCTTGTTGCAGTTTAGGTTTTAATTAAACAATTATTTGCTTTTCTATCGAATTGCATATTTTTGTATACAAACATCGGTCTTAATTTGGTTTTTAATACGAAACGTATGATTTTTCTGACTTCTCTACAACCTTTTCACTGCTTCCTTTTTCCTTGTGCATACTCTCTCCTTTTTTTGGAATTTTAATTTATGAACCCAGTCGAGGTAGTTCAAGACAGCAGTTATAATTTATTTTGCAACTATTTGTTCAACAGCTCAGTTCTTACTCGATATACAATGAAATTTCAGACTAATTTTTGAAGTCCTCTACTTTGACAGTTTCATTTTTAATTTTAAATAAAATAAAGTAGTCGAATTTCAAGTTTAAACAGAAGATTTAGATTACCTTGCAACTAGTTCATTTAATTGTGCAACTTTGACGAAATTCAGTAATTCACTCTAGATCACACACATGATGAACATGTTCAATTTTATTAATTTACGCTGCTTCATTTTTGCAAATAATATGATTAAGTCCTGGTTTCTTTCATTTGATTCATTTAAAATGTATGATATTTCAGGCGAAACGATTATTCGAGCTACAAAGACTCCTTAGCAAATACAATAAGCGTACAACGAAAACACTGCGTGAATTGCTACTGTCTGATATGTATATTGCGTCCAGAAAAAGAACCATGAAAAACAATTTGAAAATTAATGATAATATATTGAACAAAGTTGTTGAGCAAGTTCCAGAAGTGCTTACCAGTAACAAAGCACTTTTTGATTAGAGCTTTTTTGTAATGCACTGTAATGTCACATTTTAGATATGTTGAAAATCTGATCTAATTAAGGTTTGCAAAGGTGGCATTTTTTCTGGCCCAAACCGATTGGTTATTTATCATATAAGTTAGGTATGTTGAGATTGAATTTCGTTTCATTTCATTTTAATTTCAGTAAATTTGTCGGATATAGTCATTATGACATATTTATTAGGAGTGACCAATTCTAACCGTTTTGTCTATCAGATCACACTATGGCTCTGCGCCATGACGTTTTACGATCGTGCCATTCAAAATGACGATAATTTCACTTTATCCAAAGTTGAGATAACACATTTTCATAGTTTCGTTGAATCATCTATGACATGTTTTGAACACTGCTCGGTCATTACTGTTTTTACGTTAGTGAGATTTCGTAGTTAGACGTTATAAATTAGAAGTAGCAAATTAAGAAAAATTTTTTTAAAAAAACTATGTCGTAAGATCTCAGTCATGCCACATGCTGGATGGGACATGCTTCCGGTTCGATAATTCGTAACGAAGGATGAAACAGTTGAACTTAATCGGTGATTCCATCAGATAATTAGGTCATAACTTGGTCGATTAATACCACTGGTAGCGAAAAGTACCGTGGAACGGACTATTGTGAGATGTCGAAAAATCAGATTATGCATCTTTTGACAAATTTGCAAAAGAAATGGACGGACTGAAGAGGAAGAAAGAGAAACTCTTGCTCGTCACATGTAACCTATAATCGTTGTAAGATTTTAAGGTAATACCATCATGTGGATTGACGGCCGAATTTTTGATGTGTGTTAAGAGTTGACCCCGCCGTGAGTTGCACGAGGTTCAATCAAGTGGAATAAAAAGTAATTAGGAAAGATTGTGAACCGGCATAATATAATCCAATATGAAAATTCATATGCTTTCTGGGACAATGATTGAAATGAAGCGGGTGTAACAGGATGGATTGACTTAAATACCATTTCAATAAGAAAGAAAGAGGAAAAGAGAGATAATAGAGAACATCTGGTAATAGAATATACCGGAAAAAAAAGAAACCTGTTTGATATCCAGAATTTTTAACCAATAATGATTAAGGGAACTGCTGCTACAACTACGCCTGCTGCTAAAAGCGATAAAAACATATTTACCTAAAACTACTTATTATCGGATAGACAAGATGGAAAGTACCATCTGCCTTTTTAAGTTATATCTCGCAATATTGCACATTTCTCTCATCTCTCATTATCATTCCCTGGCGGGATTTTCACTGAAGTTTGTGTGTGTGTGTGTGTGTGTCCATGTCTGTACGTATTGAATTTGGGTGGTGTACGTATCGTACATACATATACGTACATATTTGAATGGTACCAAATTTGTTTAGTTACGATATAAATATTTGATATGTCATACCTAGATTTTAAAAAAAAAGGAAAAAAAAAAACTTCAGATAATAAGAAATAGTGAGATTTTATGGAAATGAATTTGTATTATAATAAATTAATTAGCATTTAAAATTATGAAAACTTATTCACAATTATTGATAAATTATTTTAAATGAAAAAAGGGAAAAAAAAGTTTACCATTTGAATATTACTGTAAATATTATATTCCAACAAATGTATGCATAGATTTATCATTGTTTAAATATTCCATCTAATAACATCATCTCATTTACGGTCCATTCAGACGAACTCTCTATTCATTAGGTGAGAGGTTATTATATTTACCTAATGTACACATACATATATATGTATAATGTACCTGCAACAGACACACACACACACACACACACACACACACACACACACACACACACACACACACACACACACACACACTACT